ATTAGCAAGGCTTGTTAAATAGCATATTCATGTATATTTGCATATTGGCAAAGATATTTTGTGTTGGTTATTGCCTTCCCCATCCCTTTATAAACATGTTGTTATAATTTCCTGCATATTTTGTTATATGAATTTTATTATGTTTGTCACAACAAGCTTTATGTAATGTGCATATTAGACATGTGCAATTTGATTCGGTCCGAATTTCAGCAACTCAGACATTCGGATGCTTCAGAATGTCTGAACTGACGAATTTTGGAAGTGACGAACCGAACTGCCGAAGTCCTGAATTGCGGAAGTGCCAAACCGAACCGACGAATTTCTGAAGTGCCGAAGTGCTTCGGATTTCTGAAAAGTGGCAAAACAGGAGAGGGAGGAAAAATTAAGGGAATGATGACAGGAATCTAACCCTAAGCCTAGCCCTAAACCCACACCTACCCCAAACCCTACTAGGGTTAGAGGAAGGTTGGGGTTAGGGCTGGAGTAGGGTTAGGTTAGGCGTGGGTTAGGGAACAGCCGAAGTCCCGAATTTCGGAAGTCCAAACTGAACCGAATTTTTTGCCCATGCACATCCCTAGTGCATATGGGCTAGTCCCGAATATTGTAAAAAAAATATAAAGTATCGCAAGTTAGTTCCTTATGGAAATGGTGCCCTGTGTGAATTTTAAAGGATCCAGGTCAGAGAGTTGTGGTACCTGTAGGCTTCTTGCACAATGCCTCTAACCCTGAGATGAATTAAGAGAGCCAAGCCTGAGAGCCTGGAAGAAGGATTGCAGCAGAATAGGCAGAGGAGCTCTACCTGTCTGGAAGGAGAGCTGTAGCCTGGCTGGGTGGAAAAGTTGCAGATCACAGCAGTGTGTGTTTCTGTGTCTCCTGGTCCAGGCTGCTCTCCCAGCAGTGTGTGTTTCTGTGTCTCCCGGTCCTGGCTGCTCTCCCAGCAGTGTGTGTTTCTGTGTCTCCTGGTCCTGGCTGCTCTCCCAGCAGTGTGTGTTTCTGTGTCTCCTGGTCCAGGTTGCTCTCCCAGCAGTGTGTGTTTCTGTGTCTCCTGGTCCTGGCTGCTCTCCCAGCAGTGTGTGTTTCTGTGTCTCCTGGTCCTGGCTGCTCTCCCAGCAGTGTGTGTTTCTGTGTCTCCTGGTCCAGGTTGCTCTCCCAGCGGTGTGTGTTTCTGTGTCTCCTGGTCCTGGCTGCTCTCCCAGCGGTGTGTGTTTCTGTGTCTCCTGGTCCTGGCTGCTCTCCCAGCGGTGTGTGTTTCTGTGTCTCCTGGTCCAGGCTGCTCTCCCAGCGGTGTGTGTTTCTGTGTCTCCTGGTCCAGGCTGCTCTCCCAGCGGTGTGTGTTTCTGTGTCTCCTGGTCCAGGCTGCTCTCCCAGCGGTGTGTGTTTCTGTGTCTCCTGGTCCTGGCTGCTCTCCCAGCGGTGTGTGTTTCTGTGTCTCCTGGTCCTGGCTGCTCTCCCAGCGGTGTGTGTTTCTGTGTCTCCTGGTCCAGGCTGCTCTCCCAGCGGTGTGTGTTTCTGTGTCTCCTGGTCCAGGCTGCTCTCCCGGCGGTGTGTGTTTCTGTGTCTCCTGGTCCTGGCTGCTCTCACAGCAGTGTGTGTTTCTGTGTCTCCTGGTCCAGGTTGCTCTCCCAGCAGTGTGTGTTTCTGTGTCTCCTGGTCAGGTTTATACCCAGCAGTGTGTGTTTCTGTGTCTCGGTCAGGTTGCTCTGGCAGTGTGTGTTTCTGTGTCTCGGTCCTGGCTGCTCCCAGCAGTGTGTGTTTCTGTCTCCTGGTCAGGCTGCTCTCCCAGCAGTGTGTGTTTCTGTGTCTCGGCCCTGGCTGCTCTCCCAGCAGTCTGTGTTTCTGTGTCTCCTGGTCTGGCTGCTCTCCCAGCGGTGTGTGTTTCTGTGTCTCCTGGTCCAGGCTGCTCTCCCAGCAGTGTGTGTTTCTGTGTCTCCCGGTCCTGGCTGCTCTCCCAGCAGTCTGTGTTTCTGTGTCTCCTGGTCCTGGCTGCTCTCCCAGCAGTGTGTGTTTCTGTGTCTCCCGGTCCAGGCTGCTCTCCCAGCAGTGTGTGTTTCTGTGTCTCCCGGTCCTGGCTGCTCTCCCAGCAGTGTGTGTTTCTGTGTCTCCCGGTCCAGGCTGCTCTCCCAGCAGTGTGTGTTTCTGTGTCTCCCGGTCCTGGCTGCTCTCCCAGCAGTCTGTGTTTCTGTGTCTCCTGGTCCTGGCTGCTCTCCCAGCAGTGTGTGTTTCTGTGTCTCCTGGTCCAGGCTGCTCTCCCAGCAGTGTGTGTTTCTGTGTCTCCCGGTCCTGGCTGCTCTCCCAGCAGTCTGTGTTTCTGTGTCTCCTGGTCCTGGCTGCTCTCCCAGCAGTCTGTGTTTCTGTGTCTCCCGGTCCTGGCTGCTCTCCCAGCAGTGTGTGTTTCTGTGTCTCCCGGTCCAGGCTGCTCTCCCAGCAGTGTGTGTTTCTGTGTCTCCCGGTCCTGGCTGCTCTCCCAGCAGTGTGTGTTTCTGTGTCTCCCGGTCCAGGCTGCTCTCCCAGCAGTGTGTGTTTCTGTGTCTCCCGGTCCTGGCTGCTCTCCCAGCAGTCTGTGTTTCTGTCTCGGTCAGGCTGCTCTCCCAGCAGTGTGTGTTCTGTGTCTCCTGGTCGGCTGCTCTCCCAACTTGCAGTGTGTGTTCTGTGTCTCCCTGGTGGGCTCTCCCAGCAGTGTGTGTTTCTGTGTCTCCTGGTCCAGGTTGCTCTCCCAGCAGTGTGTGTTTCTGTGTCTCCTGGTCCAGGCTGCTCTCCCAGCAGTGTGTGTTTCTGTGTCTCCCGGTCCTGGCTGCTCTCCCAGCAGTGTGTGTTTCTGTGTCTCCTGGTCCTGGCTGCTCTCCCAGCAGTGTGTGTTTCTGTGTCTCCTGGTCCAGGATGCTCTCCCAGCAGTGTGTGTTTCTGTGTCTCCTGGTCCAGGATGCTCTCCCAGCAGTGTGTGTTTCTGTGTCTCCTGGTCCTGGCTGCTCCCAGCAGTGTGTGTGTTTCTGTGTGTCTCGGTCCTGGCTGCTCTCCCAGCAGTCTGTGTTTCTGTGTCTCCCTGGTCTGGCTGCTCTTGGCAGTCTGTGTTTCAATGTCTCGGTCTGGCTGCTCTCCCAACAGTGTGTGTTTCTGTGTCTCGGTCCAGGCTGCTCTCCCAGCAGTGTGTGTTTTCTGTGTCTCGGTCCTGTTTCTCTCCCAGCAGTGTGTGTTCCTGTGTCTCCTGGTCAGGCTGCTCCCAGCAGTGTGTGGTCTGTGTCTCGGTCCTGGCTGCTCTCCCAGCAGTCTGTCGCTCTGTGTCTCGGTCAGGCTGCTCTCCCAACGGTGTGTGTTTCTGTGTCTCCTGATTCTGGCTGCTCTCCCAGTGTGTGTTTCTGTCTCCTGGTCAGGCACTCTCCCAGCAGTGTGTTTCTGTCTCGGTCCAGGTGCTCTCCCAGCAGTGTGTGTTTCTGTGTCTCCCGGTCCAGGTTGCTCTCCCAGCAGTGTGTGTTTCTGTGTCTCCTGGTCCAGGCTGCTCTCCCAGCAGTGTGTGTTTCTGTGTCTCCTGGTCCAGGCTGCTCTCCCAGCAGTGTGTGTTTCTGTGTCTCCTGGTCCAGGCTGCTCTCCCAGCAGTGTGTGTTTCTGTGTCTCCCGGTCCAGGTTGCTCTCCCAGCAGTGTGTGTTTCTGTGTCTCCCGGTCCAGGCTGCTCTCCCAGCAGTGTG